TGAGTTTGGAAGAAGAACTCGTTCGATCGGATAGCAGTGCGCGATGCGTTACGCCCGGGTATACAAACTCTGGTTTCTTCAATTTTTCAATGTGTTCCACAAATTTGATTTGAACAATTTTTGCAGTACTAAAAGAAAAAACAATAGGCTTTCGAATAACGCTAATAAGAAAGTAATTGAACAAAACGCACTATCCGAAAACATTAATTGAAAAATTATTTTATCCTTTTTAGCTAATAATAAAGGATTATTTAGCATATATTACTATACATTAAGCGGCCTAAGCCAATATGAGTAGAATCACGTAATTTTTTTTGCGATATCTTTTATGGTTACGCCAAAAATTGAATTTGAAAAAGGGGCCACTTTGGCATGTTTTCAATGATATCTCGACCATAAGGTGAGATACAAAGTTGAAGTTTGGTATATCGGATGTTTTCAAAATGACCTTCAAAATGGCGTATAAATTATTCAAATACAAGGGTATTAGTCGATCATGTATGGCAATGCGCCCACACCCTTGCGCGTCGTGACTATTATGTGCTCGTCTGGCAGACCCTTGCAATCGTCAGAATGGTCTGGCTTTCTACATATGCTTTCTGAACAGTTACAAGAATACTCCCTCAAAATTTGAGCCTTATGAAAGCAAGTTAAAAAAATGAGTTTTTTTTACATTTTCAAAAACTCGAGGGATGATGACGCAATCGTTAAATGCTTGCCAGACCGGCACTTTCTTAATGTACCGATAATAAAATATCATTAAAAAAATTTCTAGCTTTGAGAAAACAGGTTAGTCAAATAGTTCACTGGCTCTTAGACTAATAAAACTGTATCACCAGTCAGTTACTGCCAATTTATTAGAAAATCTTGAGCCAGGTATCAATTTAGATGTTAATGTCAACACAATTGATATAAGAATCTTTTTTCGCTATTCATCAAAAATTAATGATTCTGCACATAATGTGACTAATAACGTGACAAGAACTGATCTTTTGCAAGAGTCAAATGAAATATTTGAACTTCCATATGAAGACTTCCATTTGTTTAGGAATGCACGAAAATTGTTTGAACAAATTTACAATTTATAAAAATTTACAAATGATAGCTTTGGCTATGTATGTTTTGTGTGTGATAGACTTTGGTTTCAAAATGACTTAAAAATATCAAATAATGCTCAAATACAAATCCTTAATAATGGTTTTCTGAATATTGATTCAAATAATCAGGTTGGATGTCAAACTTGTCGAAAGGCATTAAATTTAACGGGTTTGTATTTCCACCTATACCAAATTATCTACCTAAACTAGATACTGTATCTGAAAGTTTAATTTCACCAAGGTTGTGTTTCATGCAAATTAGACGATTGCGACATGCAAATGGACAATTTGGAATATTTGGCCAAATTATAAATGTACCTGTTGACGTTGATAATATGGTTAATTTATTACCTCGTAATATTGAGGATGATCATTGCATTAACGTTCACATAAAAAAAGAAAATGATTCATAGATCAAGCTATGTGCAGGGCTTGATAAATAAAACAAATATAAAAGTATGGCTTCAATTTTTTAGGCAAGACAGATATTAGAGCTGTTCAAGGAATGAGATTATATCGTCAGCGAAAAAGTAAAAAAATACAAACAGTAAATGAATGTATGTTGATTTTAATTACATGAAGTTCTTCAAACACAATTATTACATGATGACTGACTGAAGTTACGAAAGCAATATTTGTTTAGGGGTTGTTCAACATAATCCACTGTGTGAACGAATATTATAGAACTTATTAATCAGCAATTACTTTAAACCGATCATGTCATATTTCAAGTATGACCTTGATTACATTATTGTTTGTAAATATTATACATATTTTTATGCAATCATAAATATAAAATTTATAATTTATCATTATATAAATGTGTATAATGATTGTCGACACTAATAAATGTGTGCATCACGAGTGTTACCATATTACTAATAAACATTATTCCAAATTGTTATATAATGTATTTATTTTTACTTAACTTAAATTTGCTACTTTGTACAGTAGTAAATAAGTTTTACTTCAATCGCGTGTGATCCTTACGCGCACTCTTTTTTTTTTAAATGGTTGGGCCTGCCTTTGCCAAGAACTAATAAACACTTCTGCCAATCATTACTAATTGAATGTTTTTTATATCATTCAAATCGGATGCTCCGTTCTCTCAAAAACTCGATTTTCTGCACTCTCTGCTCTTTATCTCTGTAACTGCTGGACCTGCCTCTGCCAAAAACTAATCAGGTGTTCTCCCTATCAATAGGAATTGAATGTTTTTGAACCATTCAAAGCGATTGATCCGTTCGCCTGAAAACGTGGACAAAAATTGTATCCATACATACATACACACACACACACACACACATCCATTTTTTTCTGAAATATGCCAGAATGTTCAGAAACCTTCGAATCGTCAAGAAATGCAAAAATTTTCGATTTCGATTTTTGGACGATTACAATAACTTACCCTACGGGAAGTTAACTAGCGGTGCATGGCACCGTGCCTTAAGGCAATTTGATAGAACTTTTTGTACCGTAATTCCAAACTTTTAAAAGCTTTAATATTTTTGAAAACTTTAAAAAAATTAGATTTTTGAAAATCTTGAAATTATTGAGAAAAATGGACTTTTTCGAAAAAAACGTTTTTTTTTGTATTTTAAAATTATTTGAAAATTCAATTTTATTCAAAATAATAATAATATGAACGTTTTTTCGGAGATAATTCGCCTCGATAACAAGCCAGTGAACCAGTGTTGCCAACTTGTCTATAGAGGCGCTAGTCTCGCCGTTGTCCATTGCGTTTACTTATCTATGGCGTTGACAATTATTTGTCGTTATCTGTCAAGCGTTAATTCGATTAATGCATTACTTTCGGTTGAAGATGACTTAGTGGTCAGACTTCTATGTTAGCCTTTATAAAAATGATTTTATTTATTTAATAATAATGATAATTTGTGCGATTGTTGTTTATCATGGGGCCGCACAAAAAATGTCATCGGGTCAAAAATTATTAATAGCCCGGTGTAAATAGTGCAGTGTATTTTTGAATAACTAATTTTTTGTAAGTATTTATATATAAGTTCTATAGCTTATAGCTTTATATCATATACCTTCTACATTATTTATAAAATCTTTTAGTTGTTCCACAGAATGACGAAGACCGAAACGTATGGTAAGTAAAGCTTTTTTACAACTACTTTAGTTTTTTTTACTTGGTGTTACTGCCCGAATAGAAATGTAAATAAACACCAAATTCACTAATAATAATGATAATATAAATAATTCAAGTAAGTAATGTTTTTTGTAATTCTCCTTAGCTAAAACTTTTCTTTTTACTATTGCTTATGTATATTCAAATTGTAACGTTACTTTCTGTTTTTTAAATTGTAGAACCACTGAAGATGACGTAGAATTTTACGTCGAAACGTATGGAAATATAAAGATGTTTTGAAAAAAATCTTTACTTTACTTTTTTTTACTTGATGTTACGCCCTCCAAGAAATCTATCATACATTTCAACATCAAATTTAAACATTTTCAACATATATATATATATATATATATATATATATATATATAAAATATATATGTGTATGTGTGCGTGTGTGTGTGTAATTTCAGATTCTTAAAAAATGACAAGATCCCATCACCTTTTAAATTTCTCGTAAAATTTGAACACATGTTAAGAACTGCTTCAAGAAAAAACGTGACATTTTTTTCTTAGACTCCGAATAGCAAATACATAGTTTCGCTCACTTGTTAAGTTATTCATGTTTATTTGTGTGTTTTGTCATCTCTGATGTTGAAAAATATATATATTATCAATGTGCACATACTCATACCATGGATTAATAATGTTTTCATATGCTATATTAGGAAGCAAAATTGTAAGATTTTATTATTATTATTATTATTGGTTTTCTATGAAATTTCTTACATATTATTTATTTAGTTTTAATTTTTATAGTTAAATTGATTACCACTGAATGAAGGCTAAGATGCTAGCCGAAACGTATGGATTTTAAATTAATTTTTAAATACTCTTATACTATTTATTGATGTAACACCCGACTTTTAAACTCAAATAATATATATATATATTTGTAATATTTTTGCAGCCCAACCGTCGAATTAAAAAAAAGATTAAATAACAAAATTATTTATTCCATTAAACGTTTCGACACTTGATGTGTGTCATCATTCAGTAATCTAAAAAAACATATAACATAAATACACAGTTGATGATAAATATAAATATATAAAATGTGTCAACATATATATATATATATATATATATATATATATATATATATATATAGAAGAATATGTACATTTCTGGAGTGATTTATTAAAAAATTATTTGTTACAAATGTTTAAATTTATATCTATATATATCTATATTTATATACATAAAGAATTTTGATAGAATATGGTCATAAATTTCCCAAATATCATATCAAACTGGTATGACTACAGTTATATGTTTTATATGATGATAAATAATTTGAATTACATATGCTCATAAAATCCTAAATTTAAAAAAATGTATTAATGCACTTCATATCTTTGTTGAATCATTGACAAGCACTCTGTATGAAGTGTTTGAGTATTAATATCAATTGTTATGCATACAATGGCACAATAATAAATATATAAATATTAAATTATTGAATGTTACAAACTTAAATATTTATTTTATTGCAATATGGAAGAGTTGCTACTATAATTTGATTTATCAAGATCACAAATTTTTCAAGAAATAGTAAATTAAGATAAGCTATTAAAGATTTCAAACAATAATAATATATAAACAAGAAGTAATAATAATAATAAATTTTAAGGGATAGGAGTTTCGGATAAGATAATAAAGCAGAAGACAAATAATTAATAAAAAAACTTCATAATTAAATTTTTAGTTTTATGTAATATCTTTAATGAGTATCACAAATATATCAACCTATCTTATCGATTAACAGTAATGTGAAACTTTACGGATGGCATTGCTTGAAGTTCTGCAGTGACAGTGCTATTTATTCCAAGATTGGCCAAACAACCTCGGATCAAGCCACAAGTAAAGGTTACATACTTTGGAGCATTTTCTAAATACTGTTGTCCTACTGAAACATAATTTAAAAATCGAAATGCATTATCTTGCAAAACATAAACTCCTTGGTGATTTGTCCTCAAATTATCAATTTGCTTTTTGTACAAGCATGACCAGAAATCTGTACAAATAAATTTCATAGTATCCAGTTCATCTTTGAATCGTTGCCATTCCTTTGTTAATCTTTCAATAATTCTATAACCAGTGGAAAATCCTATAAACTCAATAGTGGACAAATCGACATTTTTATTTGCCTTCGTGCTAACGGCATAATTTATTACTTCTGAATGTAAAAATTCAAATAATAATTCGTCACTCATATTTGATAAATAAATCGTAATTTTGAGAAATACTCATCAATCCAATGTCGTAATTAATACCCAGATAAACTCTATTTGCTTTCTTTACGCGCTTACACCGTTCATTTGACAGCCATTTGACAGTCTAGGTTCAATCTAATACCAATCGTCAAATCTGTCATGTAAAGATGCGTCCACACCCATAGATAAATAAGCATAAATTGATCGCTATCTCGGGCGATTTAACGTTACACTCATTTTAATTTACGAATTGATCACAACATGGCAGCACATGTACATACAGTATGTAAATTAACCCCTGGTATTAGTTCTACATTTGTACATATAATCAATACAGCCAAAAAATTTGAAAAAAATTTAATATTTGAAATAAGAACAAAATATACGAAATACAAAATATATTTTCAAATATATCACAGACATATTTTTGAAGAATTATAAACTAAACAGAAATAACTGACTACTATTAATTAAAGTATATTGCAGACATATTTTTAAAGTACTACGAATTAAAGAGAAATAACTTATTAATATTAATTACTTAATGATTAATAATAATATATTAAAAACTTAAAATCTAAGAAGAGAAAAGCGCAGGAGTATTGACGATGGAATGACAAATTTAGAAGGAATGACAAGTAATGCAAAATTTTAAAAGCATAAAAAGAACAGCAAATTTTTAAAAAAGAATGAATACTTTCCAGACAAAATAATCCTAAAAACGAAAAATATATATATTGATATCCAAATTGAGATAAAACTAAATTCCTAGTATTAAAATTCATTTACGAGACATTCTTCTTTATTATCTCATCATGTAATAGTTATTTTGCTATCTAATCAATCATTAATAAAGGTACATTTGACGAAATTTTTGAATAGTTTCTGTATAAGTGTTTTTTTAAACGTAAGTAACCAAAACTCTGAACTACTTTTAATTTATACCAATTGTAGCTCAAACCTATCTATCGTTTTAATCCAGTTTTTATTGCAAGGAGGTTTAGTTAAAACTATAACTAAACCCTTGCGCTTTAAAAGCTGCCTGGTCTTTGAGTATGCTCTCTTAATTGAGACAGTATCAAAATTCTTGCCCTTACATTTTATGTTTCCGGAATATTTGAAAACTTCTCAGAACATTGTATACTCTGTTGGAATTTATCCTTTGAATTATTGCATTGTTTGTTAATACTTTTTAATCCAAAACAAAATTTGATGTATCATACATCTTCTGGGTGTGAAGGCACTCCTACGCTTTATCACTGCATTCTGCGGCAATTTGCTGCTACCACCAAGGACTTCTATTGAATATATTGTTATATCATATTTGATTAGTTAATTATTTTTGCTGCAATTATTATGAAAAAATACCTTTGCGGAAAACTGGTGTTAGAATAGGTGATTTTTACCTGCACTTGACAATCTTAGGGGTGCTGCAAAAGTCTTTTTCAAGGTTTTTAGGCTTTCACCTCCTAACTAAGAACATAAGATTCATTTATTAATATTTTTTGCAAATGGTATTGAAGTATTTAGAGTTATAATTACTTTGCCTTGTCCTTGGAGTTGCAGATTATTTTTCTGGTTCTGTATCAGAGCATTCTCCAGTGACTTGAAAACTATTCTGTTATTGCCGTAAAGTAGACACTTCTAATTGGTTTCGATTTCAAATTATCTTTGATTTGTGCCACAAACCGAAGAGTTTGGTCATCCATTCATTAAAGGATTATTCGCTCTCTGCATCCAAATTGAAAGCATCTTAAAATGTTATATATATATATATATATATATATATATATATAACATTTTAATAGTATTTTCATGATACATATTCATTATATGCATTATGCATCATTATATACATACCTGATAATTAGAAGCCGGAAAGACATGCATTTTTTTTATTATATTTGGAGTTATAACAATTTGGCACATTACACTTTACGATTTTAACTTAATAATAAATAAAAATTTACCAATTTACCAAAACATTATCTTCTATATATATAAAAATAAGTCGGGTTTTCCTTCCTGACGAAATAACTCCAGAACGCACGAACCGATTTCGACAATTTTGCATTCTTTGGAAAGGTCTCGGGCTCCGCAAGGTTTATAGCTAAGAAAATTAGTGGTGCATGGCATCGTGCCTTAATGCAAATTGCTGGAACTTCACGCACCGTAATTAAAAATTCGAGTAATAAAAATAATCAATAATTGTTTTAAATAATTGCAAATAGATTATTTTCTATATATATATATATATATAAATAAGTCGGGTTTTCTTTCCTGATCAAATTTTTCCTTTTCAAATATAAAATAAACGAAAAATTTCTTCATTTTTCTCACGAAACCATCTGGTGACGAAACGGAGTTCGTCGGGCTTGCTAGTTATATATAAACAAACACAGAAAAACAAATACAACACATCTCAACTACAATACACGATGACAACTTATAGAATTTATCAATTCGAATACCAATCCATTTCAAAACACGGTAATCTACATTTGTTCGGAGATTACCGGCCATGGATTGCACTCTCGGGCCATATTTCGTTGCCACGTTTTTCGACCAAACTGTCAATTTGCCGGGGGTAGTTCGAGCTGCACTCCCTTGGTGCGCACGCGTCGACCGTAGAACGGGTGCGTACAAAAAATACTACAGAAATGCATCTATATTATTCTATAGTATTATTGAATTCATAATACAATAAAAATAATGTAATTAAATTTTAATAAGCATTTATTTTTCACATAATATTTTACGTAAATGATTACAAAAGATGGTATTCAGCCTTATAAGCTAAGCAAAAAGGAATAGAAACTTATACTTACAACTAGATTAAGGTAAATAATTTAAACACATCACATAATTAAAGAATTAAGGTTGGATCCCAATAATAAATAAATCGAAATTTGAGAAGCTATCGGATCTCTTTCATTATTCTCAAAAGCTTACAAAATTTTCAGAAACAAAAGCGAGAAAAATAATTATATTCATATGAAATACAAAAAATATATATATTTAAAAATTGTTAGTAAAATTCATGTCTACGATAATCTTTTCAAGTAACTCAGTTTTTGTCTTGTATTTTAATAATACAAATGGTTCAAAAAACATTCGATTCCTATTGATAGGGAAAAGATCTGATTAGTTTTTGGCAGAGGCAGGTCCAGCCGTTTCGGAGATACGGAGCAAAGAGTGCAGAAAATAGAAATCGAATTTTTGAGAGAACGGAGTATCCGATTTGAATGATCTAAAAAAATTCAATTTGAATGATCTAAAAATTGTGTTTATTAGTTTTTGGCAAAGGCAAGCCCAGCCATTTCGAAGATACAGAGCTAAATATGTAAAAAATGGCAGTTTTTGAGAGAACTACGCGTCCGATTTAAATGATTCAAAGAACTTTCTGCTTGTCTTAACAAAATTATTGATTTTGGAAAAAAAAATTTGTTCCAACTTTTTTTTTTTTTTAGTTTTTTGTATATCGAAAATAATTCAGATTTTATTTTTAATTCTGACTATAGTTCTAATATACTTTACAAATAATTTCAACTCTGCAATTCAGTTTATATAATTCTTATAAATATTAGACAATGTTACAATATTTATAATAATCTATTTGAAAGTATTCCTCGAACATTTCGTTACGGTACGGGAAGTTTCAGCAATTTGCCTTAAGGCACGATGCCATAATTGACTCAAGACAGAATTCCACTTACAGCTAGTTATTTGACTTGATTGAATTACACTCAAATTTAAATTTTTTGGAACAATTTTATATTTAAATTCCATAATTGCATACACAGCTATATCTAAGCGATTCTATAGGATAAACAAATATCATAATATTATATCAACACGTCATTAAACTGAATATTTATTGATTTCCAAAGGGCCTCATATCGTGTTACAATAAATAGAATCGGACTGATAGATAATGATGTTTATTTCATCTTATGTGAAAATGTAATGATTTTATTACACTGCGTAATTTTCATTTATTTGACTTTATATACATTTAATCATAATAATTACTATATTATTATATTTTTTGCTTTTTATAAATTTATTTACAATTATTATTTTACTTAAAACGTATCACAGTTTGAAATAATATAGGACCATTATCTTGTTTTAAATTAAAATACTCTACAATTATAGTATGTTATTATTATCGGATCATAAATTAGTAAAAAAATTACTTTTTTAAAGTCATTAAAATATTGGAAATTATGCTAATTTAACACATCAGATACAGACAATACAGTTTATTATAATAATGTAATATGATCTTTTATGAGTTTTTGGTCTTTCTTACTCATAAGTTTGTTTTTGGTAAAAAGTACTCAATATACTCGATAGTGATAATGAGTTGATTAAGTTGGATATAATTTTGTCAAATTACTATTAAAAAAATAAACTTATTATTTTTTAATTTTTTAGTTGAATATAGTTGTAGTTGTATATACATTTTTTTATATTTGCACTAGTAACTTTCAATTTTGTTTACGTTTAAGATAATAAAAATACCGGTAACTTACCGGTATTCCGGTTTTAAAAAGAAAAATTTCCGAAATACCGGAAATTTTTCATCGATATTGCATTCCCTAATATCTTTCGAACGGTTTTTGAATTTTTAAAATCTAATCGAATTGCGGACTAAAGTGTGGACAAAAGTTTATTCACTTTTCTGTCATTTACAAAAACTCGCCTGGTCGATCGTCGCGCAAAACTGACAAACGATAGCCCCCTCATCGAGATAGATCGAATAGCTTTTGAAATTTGAAAATGAATTTGAGAAAACATCGATTTTAGGTAAAAAAAAAATCTGTTCAAACATACAAAACACACATATACTTTTTCCAAATATGGAATTGACATAAAACGTCGAGAAAATATTTTTTTTTTTAATTTTATTTGAACAGCGATCAGAACTTATGGGTTCTATGAGCTGTTGTGATTAATATCTTACAAACTACGTTTGTTTTATTGTAGATGGCAACCCAAACAGTTGTCACATCTCTGTATGATCAATTTTTATTACAATCTCTGTAATAGGGCAAGTATGGTGCAACAATGCCGGGTGAGGGCTATTTTCACTTGGAAACATATTGCTATCTATATTTCCAAGTGAAAATCGTTGTCAATGTTGCCTGACAACAGGCTGCTCGAAGTGGGTATCGAACCCAAGACCTCTAAAACAAG